AGAGGAAGTCATCTCTTTGAGCAGCAATTCGCTGCGGCGGTTCGAAATCATCATAAAAGCGAGAAAGCGAGAAGGCGAGAAAACGAGAGCTCGGGATCTTTCTTTAGAAGGTTCCGACAGTCTACGCCCAGCAGCGGCTCAGCCGCAGCGGCAGTGTCGGAGCGGGCCCCAGAGGCGGGGGCCCCACGAGGAACTCCATCACGAGGTCGAAGGGCGCAGAGCCTGGCGGAGCGTAAGCTCCCAGCATCCGCAGCTGCTCCAGGTTGCGCCAGTGCCCCAGCGGCCGCGAGTTGTGAGCGTCGAGGCCGTAGACCTTGTCGTTGAAGGGCGAGAGCGACTTCTTCTACGGTCTCCACGGCTATCTCGTGCGCGCGGCTGCGCAGCTGCGCGAAGGCCGCCCTGCGCTCGCTGCCTTCCTCCAGCACCCCCCGGTACTCGAGATGCCGGACGTTGGTCACCGCCTTCTTCGGCACGCCCTTGATCTTGCGCTTCTCCTTGCGCGCGCCGTCGGGCTGGACCGTGAGGATGCTGTACATCTTGGAGCGCAGGCCCACGTACTCCAGGATCCTGGCGGGGAAGGTCTCGTCGCCGAGCTTGCCCATGTGCTTGAGCTCCATGAAGCCCGCCATGAAGGGGCTGCAGGCGAAGCGGTAGGCCCTGTGCAGCCTCCAGACCCTGGCGCCCAGCACGTCCCGCAGGAACTTGAGCCGCTTGCCGTCCACGCCCTCCTCCACGGGCATGCCGAGGAAGGGCACGAGCTTCTCGCAGGGCGACGGGGAGAGGCCGAGGCGCTCCGCCATGTCCGCGGTGTGCGGCCCGTACAGGCCCTTCCCGACCTTCATGCGCGCGGGGGGAGCCCAGTCCAAGTGGTCGTGCAGCTCCGGGGGAAGTCGTAGTCCACGAGGAGCAGGTAGCTCACCTCCTCGGCGTCGGACTCCCAGTTCAGGCTCGAGAGGCACGTCTCGTGCAGCCAGCTCAGCCTCGCTGCGTTGTCTTCGGGCAGGGCGACCGCCACGCAGGGGCCGTTGGGCATGGGCAGCGTCATTGCGGCCGGGTACATGGCGTTGAAGTCCAAGTACGAGATCCAGCTGACGGGCTCCTCGGGGTTGTAGTCCTCCTCGCCCAGCTCGGGGTTGTTGGCTTGAGCGAAGGGCTGGAAGATGCAGCTCAGCCCGCCCATGACGGAGGCCCGCACGTCCCTGTAGGCCTGCTCGTCGGTGATGAGGTGAATGGGCGTCTCGCGGGCCGAGTGCCGCAGCATGGCGTCCCAGGCGGCCCCGGGCAGCGTGACGTAGTGGATGGGGTCGAGCCCCGACTGCGCCCCGAAGGAGTCCCGGTAGCTCTCCATCACGTCCGCCAGGGCCAGGACGTCGGTGTGGAGGTAGCAGTCGTGGAACTCGCGGAAGGTCTCCCACCCCATGACGTTGGCGGTGTTCACGGCCAGCCGGTGGTCCTCTGCGCTCACCGCCTTCCCCGCCAGCACGCTGTCGTAGCAGTGCTGCTCCCACACCGCGGGCATCTCCCACGCCTCGGCGCCGCAGAAGTGCTCGAAGGGCATGGGCAGCTTGCGCAGGATGCAGTCCCACGCCTGCTCCAGCTCGCACTGATGCGTCCGCCGCTGCTTGAGAGGTCGTCTTTGAGGCGGAGAGCCCGTCGGCGTGCGCAGCTGCAGCTCGGGGTGAAGCGAGGCCATCAGCGGGAAGAGCTCCGGCAGCTGCTTGTGGTGCAGGCCCTGAGGTCGTCGATCATGCTGGCCAGGCTCGTGGGGAAGACGTTCATGCTGTCCACGAACCTCAGCGGGCCCCAGCTCATCTGCAGGCACTTCTCGCCCGACTTGCAGAGGACTCGGAGGCAGAGGTGGCTGTAGTCGCCCTGCTTGATCGCGGCCTGCAGGGCGCACCAGCCGCTGAGGGGCCTTGGCGCGGCCTTGGCCTTGGCCTTGGGCTTTGGTGCGGCCTTTGGCGCGGCCTTGGCCATGGCCATGGGCCTCTCGGGCTCGCTGCCTTCTGCCTCGCTCTCGCTGCCCTCGTTGTCGCTGTCCTCGCCGAGCTCTTCGCGCGGCGCCCTGCTGACGGGAGAGCCCATCGTGGCGATGTAGCGCAGCAGGAAGTGGAAGTCGTAGCCGCCCCCGTTGTGAAAGACCACTGGGATGGTCTTGGGCGTCTGGGCCGCGATGTTGCAGGAGTGGCACAGCGCCCCGAGATACTGCCCGGTGTCGCACAGGATTGTGGGTTCAAATTTCGACACGATGTCCCTCGAAGGCCCTGCCCACCGACTTGGTGGCGCAGAAAAGCTCCAGGAGTCTCGGCATGGCGTCCTGACGTAGGGGACGCAGGCACCGAGGACTTTTTTTCCCCACATCTTTGTGCGGGGTTCTTACTTTTTCCGCTCGTCGTCCGCGCGCCGCGTCTCCTCCTCCTCCCGCTCGTCTCCGTCTCACTCACTCACTCACTCACTCACTCACTCACTCACTCACTCACTCACTCACTCACTCACTCTCACTCACTCACTCACTCACTCACTCACTCACTCACTCACACTCACTCACTCACACTCAGTCACTCACACTCACTCACACTCACTCACACTCACTCACTCACACTCAGTCACTCACACTCACTCACACTCACTCACTCACACTCACTCAAACTCACTCACTCACTCACTCACTCACTCACTCACACTCACTCACTCAACTCACTCATTCACTCACTCTCATTCACTCACTCACTCACTCACTCGCTCACTCACTCACTCACACTCGCTGACTCACGGCAGCTGTCTAGAGGGACAGGATGTTGTCGCGCGCGCGGCGGGGGGCGTGCGAAATCGTGGCAGGCGCAGCACTTTGGCGATGCCGTTGCGAAATCGTGGCAGGCGCAGCACTTTGGCGATGCCGTTGCCGAAGTCGTGGCAGGCGCAGCATTCTGTGCATCTGGGTGTGTGTTTGTGTGGCAGGGGTCGCATTCGGCAGCTGTCTAGAGGGACAGGATGTTGTCGCGCGCGCGGCGGGGGGTGTGCGAAATCGTGGCAGGCGCAGCACTTTGGCGATGCCGTTGCGAAATCGTGGCAGGCGCAGCACTTTGGCGATGCCGTTGCCGAAGTCGTGGCAGGCGCAGCATTCTGTGCATCTGGGTGTGTGTTTGTGTGGCAGGGGTCGCATTCGGCAGCTGTCTAGAGGGACAGGATGTTGTCGCGCGCGCGGCGGGGGGTGTGCGAAATCGTGGCAGGCGCAGCACTTTGGCGATGCCGTTGCGAAATCGTGGCAGGCGCAGCACTTTGGCGATGCCGTTGCCGAAGTCGTGGCAGGCGCAGCATTCTGTGCATCTGGGTGTGTGTTTGTGTGGCAGGGGTCGCATTCGGCAGCTGTCTAGAGGGACAGGATGTTGTCGCGCGCGCGGCGGGGGGCGTGCGAAATCGTGGCAGGCGCAGCACTTTGGCGATGCCGTTGCGAAATCGTGGCAGGCGCAGCACTTTGGCGATGCCGTTGCCGAAGTCGTGGCAGGCGCAGCATTCTGTGCATCTGGGTGTGTGTTTGTGTGGCAGGGGTCGCATTCGGCAGCTGTCTAGAGGGACAGGATGTTGTCGCGCGCGCGGCGGGGGGCGTGCGAAATCGTGGCAGGCGCAGCACTTTGGCGATGCCGTTGCGAAATCGTGGCAGGCGCAGCACTTTGGCGATGCCGTTGCCGAAGTCGTGGCAGGCGCAGCATTCTGTGCATCTGGGTGTGTGTTTGTGTGGCAGGGGTCGCATTCGGCAGCTGTCTAGAGGGACAGGATGTTGTCGCGCGCGCGGCGGGGGGCGTGCGAAATCGTGGCAGGCGCAGCACTTTGGCGATGCCGTTGCGAAATCGTGGCAGGCGCAGCACTTTGGCGATGCCGTTGCCGAAGTCGTGGCAGGCGCAGCATTCTGTGCATCTGGGTGTGTGTTTGTGTGGCAGGGGTCGCATTCGGCAGCTGTCTAGAGGGACAGGATGTTGTCGCGCGCGCGGCGGGGGGTGTGCGAAATCGTGGCAGGCGCAGCACTTTGGCGATGCCGTTGCGAAATCGTGGCAGGCGCAGCACTTTGGCGATGCCGTTGCCGAAGTCGTGGCAGGCGCAGCATTCTGTGCATCTGGGTGTGTGTTTGTGTGGCAGGGGTCGCATTCGGCAGCTGTCTAGAGGGACAGGATGTTGTCGCGCGCGCGGCGGGGGGCGTGCGAAATCGTGGCAGGCGCAGCACTTTGGCGATGCCGTTGCGAAATCGTGGCAGGCGCAGCACTTTGGCGATGCCGTTGCCGAAGTCGTGGCAGGCGCAGCATTCTGTGCATCTGGGTGTGTGTTTGTGTGGCAGGGGTCGCATTCGGCAGCTGTCTAGAGGGACAGGATGTTGTCGCGCGCGCGGCGGGGGGCGTGCGAAATCGTGGCAGGCGCAGCACTTTGGCGATGCCGTTGCGAAATCGTGGCAGGCGCAGCACTTTGGCGATGCCGTTGCCGAAGTCGTGGCAGGCGCAGCATTCTGTGCATCTGGGTGTGTGTTTGTGTGGCAGGGGTCGCATTCGGCAGCTGTCTAGAGGGACAGGATGTTGTCGCGCGCGCGGCGGGGGGTGTGCGAAATCGTGGCAGGCGCAGCACTTTGGCGATGCCGTTGCGAAATCGTGGCAGGCGCAGCACTTTGGCGATGCCGTTGCCGAAGTCGTGGCAGGCGCTGCATTCTGTGCATCTGGGTGCTCTGTAATCGCATCCATACAAGGGGCGCACGGTACATGTGTGTGGACATTTGGGAAAAACATAGCATGTGGGGTGATCCGGTCCTTTAATTCGCCGTTCCGTCGTGTCCGAAAGTTGCTCGCTGCCAGGTTGGTCTGGTGATTGGGGCGCAGGCACCGAGGACTTTCGCCGTTCCGTCGTGTCCGAAAGTTGCTCGTTGCCAGGATGGTCTGGTGATTGGGGCGCAGGTGGAGGGTCCTCCGGTTGGCAGGCGCGTCTTCCCTTTTTTCCTTTTTTGACGATGCCTCTGCCAGGAGGCGGCTTGGACGGCGGCGCGGAAGCCGCCGTCCAAGCTTCGCAGGGAGAAGGCGTTCAACGACGAGAAGGCTCGTCGTATCGTGAGAGGGCTGCGGGCTATCCTTTTTTTTTGGCCAGGACGCGATGCGCCGCGAGCTGGCGGTCAAGACCATCCGCGAGCTCCGCGGCCAGCTCGCGGAGCACGCGGACACGGCGGCGAAGCTCGTGGAGAAGGCTCGTTTTTTTTCGCCGGCTGGCGGATCGTTGTGGCTGACAGGAGAAGGAGTGCCTCCGCCTCTTCACGAAGCTTGAGGCGGAGCAGAAGTGGACCGAGGGGTACAAGGGTCGACATCAAGGCCCTCTACGAGGAGAACCAGCGGCTGCGGCTGGAGGTGGGAATCGGCTCATCCGTTGTCTCTTGAATCCCTCTTTGAGAGGCCGCCACCGCCGCAGCCGCCGCTCCGCCGGCGAAAAAAGCCACGCAAGGCACCTTTTTTCCCCGCTTTGGGCCATGTTTGAACGTTCTTGTCAGGCGGCATGAGCTGGACATCGTGGTGGGAGGACCGTGTTTTTTGCGTTTTTCGCGTGCTTTTCAAGCGTTTGTTCAACCTGCCGCAGGAGTGAGCGTGGCCAGCTCGACGGGGTACATCCTGGTGGAGGAAAAAGCGCTCGGGCCCGCGGCCTTTTTTTTTTTAGTGCCGAGCGGGCACTTAGGAGTGCCGAGCGGGCACTTAGGAGTGCCGAGCGGGCACTTTAGGTAAACGTGCCGAGCGGGCACTCTAGATTAGGAGTAGGCAGTGCCGAGCGGGCACTTAGGAGTGCCAGCGGGCACAGTGCCGAGCGGGCACTTAGGTAAACGTGCCGAGCGGGCACGGTGCCGAGCGGGCACGTAGGATAGTACGGATTCGCCCAACGGCCCTTAGTACTGACTTGCCCAACGACCCTTAGTACGATCGCCCAACGGCCCTTAGTACTTAACTTAGTACGGGTTCGCCCAACGACCCTTTGTACGGGTTCGCCCAACGGCCCTTAGTACTGGCTCGCCCAACCTCGTTTTGATACTTGCCGACGGATGCGATTTCCTCCGGATTTTTGGGGCTTCATCCCTCGGATCTCTTTAGGCTGACCACAACCAGCCGAGGACTGAGACAACTGGGATGGGCCTGAGACATCCGCTGAAACATGAACAGATGTGTGTAGGGGGATGTATGGAAAGAGGCACAGGGGAGGGAGCTCGGAGTTTTTTTAGGCCCTTATAGGAACCTATAGGAACCTATAGGAAACCTATAGGAAACCCATAGGAAACCCATAGGAATTCCATAGGAAAAGGAGAAGAGGGCTTCCTATGGGTTTCCTATGGGTTTCCTATAGGTTTCCTATAGGTTCCTATAGGTTCCTATAAGAGCCCCATCAGGCAGGTGCCTGGCGGGTTTGGCTTGGTCCGCCCAACGGGTCGTGACACCCAGCCAGACGAAGGGTGCCTGGAGCTTCACCTTTTTGTTGCACCCTTATAGGAACCTATAGGAACCTATAGGAAACCTATAGGAAACCCATAGGAAACCCATAGGAATTTTATAGGAAAACCCTCTTCTCCTTTTCCTATGGAATTCCTATGGGTTTCCTATGGGTTTCCCAGAGGTTTCCTATAGGTTCCTATAGGTTCCTCTGAGGCAAAAAAAGTCCGGGCTCCCCCTCTCCCTCGGCCGCTTCAATCCACAGGGGCATCGGACATCTTCTCAGATGTGTGGCTGGATGGGGCCCCTGTCCGGCGCCTACTTCTGTTTGAGACGCGCTTGGCCTCTTGACGAGGAACTGCATTGGCGTTGGGCAAATGGACGCAACGTGAAGCATTTGGCCCGAAATCCCTGATCTTCTGAGCCTCACCAATTCGTCATCGATCATGGACTCTCAATCCATGGAATGCCAACCTACTCGGCGTGGAGCCCGGAGGAGGCCGAGCACGCGATGCAGGGCATCGGCAACTGCGACGACAGGTCCGCGCACTTGCAGCTCTGCGCAGACCTCGAGAACTCGACCGAGGGCGGGAACACAGCCCTTGCCCTGTGGAGCCTCGCCACCCTCTCTGGCAGCTGCGGATGATGAGCATCCGCTCCATTCTTGGCGTCGGCCCTCGTGCCGGTGTCGAGAAGATCGCGTCCGCGGCGCGGAGGCTCCACGCCATCTATCACCCGGACAAGGGCGGCAGCCACGAGGTCTTCACCCACTTGCAAGAGAGAGTGGATGCTCTCCTGGAGGAGTGCCGCCGCCACGCGGGTCCCGCACCGTTTTCTGCGCCAAGTGCGCCGAAGCCGCGCGTCAACACGGCCTTCGTGACCGATCTGCTGGACATGGCGGACACGTGGAGGATCCGTGTCGGCAAGATGCCCTGAACTTCTACCTCGAGCCTCCAACAAGGCTGTGCCGGAGGAGTACTACGAGTGTGAGCTGGCGAATCGGCTCGGTCCCCATGAGATTGACCGGCCGAGGACAGCGCTGGCCTTGTACTCGTACCCGAGGCTTGCCAGGTACGCCTTCTTTACTGGCACCGGGTTGGCCGAACTGGACTTCCCGCCTCGCACGGCCAGCAGTTCTTGAAGTACGCCCGGAGGCACAACCTGTCCCACCGGACGCTAGCGCCTTCGGCAGCACGGAGGCCATCTACGAGTTCCGACGCACGGCGTGCCCGGCCTCCCCGCGGCCGCTGTGAAGAGCGCTGCAACCTGCTCGCGTACGGCAACGGCCTCGCCGACTGGCGCAAGGCGCACCGGATGGCGGGCATCCCCCCGCACTAAGGCCCTCAAGGACGAGCTCACGACCACTCGGACGCACATGGCGTCGCACGCCCCCCAATTGTGGAAGGATGCTGTCAGGGATCGGAAGCACCCCGAGCTGACGCTGGAAGTTTGATGTGCCAGAAGGGAGAGCGTGCCGACCTCGACGCCCTGGGGCGCATAATTCCGGACGTGACGATCCAGGCTGGCTGGGAGACAGATTCTCGTCTCCCCGCCTCGGTTGGCTCACGCGCCGCCGGCATCTACGTCACCCTGAAGACGTTTCCGGCCGACTTGGAGGGGTACCTGGACTTCGGCGTGCATCACGACGGGACGCCCATGACCGCTTGGCAGAGGCGGAGGAACGCCGCACGGGCCTACGCGGTGGTGACCTGAAGGAAGATGAGGACCGCGAAGGGCCGTTGCCCCCCGATGCCGCACCTGGACTTCCCGTCTGTGTCGAGGGCGAGCTCCCGTGAGTTGACTACGCCTCCAAGAAACTGGAGTTCTGCAACGCGAACGGGGCGTGTGGATGCACACCGGCGGGCAGGCGTACTGCCGCGGCAAGTCTTGAAAGACGCCCTCTGCAAGGTTGTGCACACCCGGTGGGGCATCGACAAGGACGGAAACCCGGCTGCTCCGGCGACAACCCACGGCCCCGGTCCTCTCGTCTGGATTTCCTACATGTTTCCTAGGTTCCTAGGAAACCCATAGGAAACTCATAGGAAACCTGTAGGAAGCCCTCTTCTTCTTTTTCTATGGCCTTCCTATGGGTTTTCTATAAGTTTCCTATAAGATTCCTATAGGTTGCTATAGGTTCCTATAGGAGCCCAACAAACCCTCGGACTCACAGTTTGATGCTGGTCCGCCCAACCCGTTGGAGTTTGATACTGGTTCGCCCAACCCGTTTGGTTTGCCGAGGACCCCAAACCCTAAAGGGACATTTGCACGGTTTTTGCGCCACAAAATGCTATCTTACAGGGCCATATCATAGCTGGAAGAATAGCTTGTTTTGCACGGTTTTGCGCTACAAAATGCTATTATTCTAGGCCGACATTGATGTAGGGCCTAAGCGCGCCGCGCGGGAGCACGGGGGACGACGGGAGCTTTGTGGTCACGACAGACCTGGGCAACGAGTTTGCCACGCTGGACAGGGAGCTGCCCGCGGAAGCCGTGCACCGCACGAAGCGGCCCGATGCCGTGGTGGACCGGGGCATCCAGACGCTGAAGAAAGACCTGGCCACGAGGGTGGCGCGCAAGGGGGGACCACTTTGAGCGGGCGGCCGGGGCCTGCAACGCGCGGCCCCACGAGACGGGCGCGGCCGAGGACGTGGAGAAGCAGCCGGCCACAGAGTTCAGGGTCGACAAGTTCCAGCACAACAAGGACCTCACCAACCGGCGCGTGAAGCGGGCGCCTTCCGAGCGCGGACGAACGCGGCGAGGAGCTTCAACCCTCAGTACGGCGACGTGCAGCTGGGGGCCGTGGACTCCATGACCTCCGCAGCACGGAGGGGCGCGAGACCCTGCTGAAGCTGGCGCTGCCGGCGCCGCAGGGCAGCGGCAACGCGGCGGGCCGGCTGACGAGACGGGGCAGGCCGGCGGCTGTGAGGCAGCTGGACGACTTTCTGGCGCCTCCGAGGCCCAGGACCCTCGACTAGCCTCCTTTGAAAATGATTTTTTTAGGCACGACCCGGCCTCCCTGCGTCCAAGGAACCTCGGTCGCCGTTTTGGCGCAAAAAAAAAACTTTGATCACACTCAAGTTGGAATTGCCTGATCCTGATCGAGCGAAAAAAGCTGGGAGAAAAAAGGGTTTCGAGAGGGCGAACCAATCAAATGAGCGGGGGCTGGCATGGAACCGCGCAAACCCGTGCAAAAAAAAGCTATTAGTCCGGTGGCCCGGCCCACCGTCTCGGCGTTCTTGTTCTGCAGAGGTTCCACGGCGGCCTCCTGGGTGAAGACGTCCATCACCACCAGGCCGTACTTCGTCTTCCCCCGCGTGTTCTGGCTGAAGTCGATGAGGTCGGCCTGCAGCCGGTCGTTCGGCCCCTCGGCGGCCACTTGCCCAGCGCGCGCGGCCGGGGCGCCTGCACCTGCCGCCCACGTCGGCCTTCAAGGCCATGGCCTGCGTCACGTCGAGGTCGCGTGCCTTGCGAGTCGGTACAGCTTCCGCGGGTCCCGCACGTTGAAGTCGTCGTCCAGCCGGGCCTGGAAGCCCTTGCACACCCCCCACAGCACGCTAGTGAGGTGAGAGTAGTTGAGAGTAACCATCTCCGTGCCGTCGCTCCACCAGGCGGCGCCCGTCAAATTCTTTCCTGCGAAGTCGTCTGAGGCAAAGCCCTTAGGTCCTTGTTCATGTCCGGGCGCTTGTGCTGCTTGGCCTCCACGGAGTTAAAGAGCTGCTTGAGCTCGCCACGTCGGCCTCAGCCATCTCCGTCTTCACCCGGCTGTCCGAC